GGAGAATACAGTCACATAAAGAGAGCACTCGGATCTCCACCTGCTTTCATCTTTATCTGGACAATGATGTTTACGAAGCCAGCATCAAACGCTGCCCGAGCCTTGTTGTTTGCAGAATATGCCACCCAACCTTTCTATGGTGCCTGTCCCGTACCAGACCTGCTAAAAAAATGCTTGGCTTTGTCTGTTCTTTGGTGTCTGGGGATTCTGAATGGATGCAGCGTCAAAATGGCTGCTTGTATTCAGACTGTTTTCACCCTGTTGAAGATGGTGGCTTTATCCGTTATTGCCATAGGTGGCATTGTCCTGCTGGTTAGAGGAAGAAAGGAGAATTTAGCAAGGTTTGAGAATGCTTTCAGTTCAGAAGTTCCTGATGTATCACAGATTGCAGAAGCTTTTTTCCAAGGATTATATGCATATGGTGGTTGGTGGTCCCTCAATTACATGGCAGGTAGCTATTTTAAAATAATACATTTTTAGCAGCCTTTCTCACATTATTCAGGCAATATTAATATTACTTGTCTCCCTGTGATGATAATATTTGTGAAGATGTGTTTTAAAATTCTGGCTATTTACAAGGACCTTATTAGTTTCTAATAAAAGCGGGTTGCCCTCATACATAGAACTAATTTGCTTAATGTGCATTAAAACTATAACTATATTGGAGGTCTCCAGAACAAAAGGGATATTTAAATTTAGACTAATATGGAAAGCAAAGATTTTAATTGAAATCTCTCATACATACAGAACTTTCACATTGGAAATGCTGATTTTCCCTTCATTTAATCTCATTGCAGTTATATACAAGAGGGTGTTAGTTGGAGTGGGGTAGAATGGGGGCGATGCAGGTGTCACACAGTAAGGATTGAGTGCCTTCAGCCACACAAAGCCCAGACCATTATCTTACTAAATGGCATTTTTTCTATTAGTGCATGGACTAATCATTAAATTTAAAATGAAAACTTTAAAAATATATCATTTTCGCAGTGAACCAGAGCTATTGATTTCCCTAGCAACACAGTTCTTAATAATGGAGAATAAAGAAAATAAGTAAAGGAAATAGTATAAACACGTTTCTATGCCTTTTTAAATATATTGTTTCTAAACATTTTAAACCCTTCAATAGTTTAGTAATATACTCATTTATTCCAGTTAATATATAGTGCCACATATGTCATAGTAGCAAGAGCAATTAGCATGACAAACTTCTATAACAACTTCAGAGTAAACAATGTTAACAGGAATGTAGACAATCATGAACACAGGGACTAATCTAATGATTACCCAAATGTTTTGCAGGATTGAGCTGTATGTTCTGAGTTTTTGTTCTTATGTCTTTAACATTCTCTATCTATTTAGTTTTTTTCTCATTAGTCAAATATTAAACAAATTAAAAGTAACAAAGATCAGCATAGAAAATGTGAAAAATAGTTAATGTTTTAAAAAGGGCAGTTAATGAACTGGTTATTTCTAGCTTGAAACTATGCTGCAGACAAAAGTAATTTTTTCCCATAAAATAAAATAAAATAACATTAGAATTTGAAATCCTATTAGGGCCTTTAAAAAAAAGTACAAGTTTTATGTAACACGAGATATTGCAAATGTATTTATACTGTACTATTTTATTTTATGTTTGGTTTGCAACATTAATGTAGTAGAACAAATTAGACTCCATAATACTTAGGCAGAATCTGTACTTTTTGACACTGAATTTTTACACTTTTACAAGTATTGTTTCAAGTAACTACCAATATTATATCTAAGAAAAGAGATTAGGAGGGGGAGAAATCCTGGATTTTTTTTAGTGGCATTTACTGGGTTCACTTAGCAGTACTTTAGATGTTAGTTTTATTTTTCCTCCTGTTCAGTCACTCTTACATGTTATTTGTGTAGGTTTTTCAAACAGCAACAAGAGAAAAAAATAATAGGAAAATGTGCTTGTGAAAGCTCAATGGGGCTTTATCTTGGGGCAGTTTTAAGAATTGTAAAAAATATTTGTAAAGAATCTGTCAATTCAAATCTAGGCAATTTTATAAAGGTGTTCGAAAAGTAAGGCTGATTGAAAAAATTCTATGAAATCTGTTTTTCAATGTAAAATTGGGTTTTCAGTTAAACATTTTCTTTTGGCAAAAGTATTTGTACAGATAATTCTGACTCTATCAAACCCCACCCCCCTGTACATCTACAAACTAAAAACATTTGGATTGAGTGTGAAAAAATAGATTCAGAACTGAATCAAACCATTTCCTTTGTCACTGTATGACAATATATAACATTCCTCATAACCATCACAGTAGTTCAAACAATGGCATTGTATAGTGTGACGGCTTATATTCAGAGGATGGTAGAGTTAACATTGTTTACTCTGGTGGCTTATGTTCCCATTCTTCTCTAAGGATGGGCCTTCCTATTCAGGAGTCTTTTCCCATGATGCTCTTCAAAAGCACAGGAAGAACAAGAACACATGAAGCATCATTTAGCCCACGCTGAGAGCCAGCCTATCTAAAACAGGGGTGGGCAAAATACTGGCCCAGGCACAGTCAAGCCATGAAACATCCTGCCACCCTCTGGGCATGCAGCAGGTCTGTGGCGACTCTGCAGCTGGACTGTCTTTCTAGGCAGCTGAGGTGGTGGCGGCTCCTTCTGGCTGCTGCTGCTGGTGGCCCCAGCCCCGGGGTACCAGTGGGGACCTATGCTGCATAGCCCTGAGCCTGCGCACCCTGCACCTGCTTCAGGCTCACCTACCCAGGCTCAGCAGTGGCGGCCTGGGACAGAAGCTGTTGCTCAGCACAGGGGGAAAAGTGGCCCTCCTCCTTGCCACCACAGGGCTGTTTCTGCTGCAGCTACCTGGAGCCCGCACTGGGCGGCCCTGAGTCAATGCGTCACTGCCACCTCTGGGCTGCTCAGTGGGGCAGTGGTGGCAGTGCGGGGAAGACGCAGGGTAACCCAGCATGGTGTGGGCTCCAGGTGGCTGCAGCAGGAACAGCTGTTAGTGAGAGGCTGCTTTTTCTCTGTGCTGAGCAACAGCTTCTGTCTCACACTGCTGCTGCTGAGCCTGGGTGGGCGAGTCTGGAGCAGGCATGGGGTGTGCGGGGCCAGGGCTGTGCACATGGGTCCTCGCTGGTACCATGGGGCTGGGGCCAGCAGCTGTAGGAGCTGCAAGGAGCCACTGCCACCTGGGATTCCTAGAAAGGCAGTCGAGCTGTAGAGCCACCCTAGCCCCACTCCGTGCCCAGGGACGGCAGGATGTGTCATGCCCAGACAGTGCAGAGAAGGCCCAGGGCAGGCTGGGTCAGGCTGTGCCCAGGTTCCCGCTGATCTGCTCTGGTGGGAGTGAGGCTGAAGTGGGCCTGGGATAGGGCTAGGACTGTGCACTGCTGGCTGTGGTAGGGAGGCACCACAGGACGTGCAGGCTCTGGGTAGATGCGGGGTGGAGGTGGGTGCTGACCAGATCAGGGGGATGTATGTGGGAGCTCCCATGCACACCCCACCATACCCAGAAATCCTCCCCTACAAATCCCACATGCACCCCCCCACACACTCACATGCCTTTGCGGGGAGCCCCACGCAATGCTATGTGCACACCCCCCACCACACATGCGCACCCACAGCCTCCCACACAGACCCCAAAATTGAGACCCTGAAAATGGTCTACAGCCATGACTTAACACATGTGTACAGCTACAGAATGCTTTCAAAATGGCTGGCAGTGCAAAAAATTAACCCTGGTTAAATGAAGTATTAAATTAATTTTCTAAGGCAGAATGCCTTAGAAAATTTGTGTTCCCTTCAGGGTTAAATTTTTGCATGGGGTCAGGGGTCTCAGTGGGGGAGGGTGGATTGGGGGAGCAGCAGCATGGAATTGCAGGCAGCTTTTGAATGGCCTGAGCTGGGGAGGTGGGGTGGAACAGAGCCTCCTCACCTTGCAGCCCCCACCCCGCCCAGCTACCATGGCTGAGGTACGGGAGCCAGGCTAAGTCCACAAGACGCGGGGGCTCTGTTCCAGCCCACCCCCACCTCAGTTCTAGCCTTTCAAAAGCAGCCCATGGATCTGTGCTGCCACTGTCAAGAGGCCCGGGTGGAGGAAGGGAGTCCCCCCTCACCTTGTGGGCCTGGTCTGGCTCTCTCCAATAACGCAGCTGGGGTAGCTGGAGGGGGACCGTGAGTTGAGAGGGACTCTCTTCCCCCATCTCCCACCTGGGCCTCTTGACAGTGGCACATGGAGCTCCAGCTGCTTTTGCATAGCCAGAGCTAGAAGGGTGGGGCAGGGTGCAGAGAGCTCCCTCACCTCCTGGGTCCGGCCTGGCTCCACCTGATACCCCAGCCAGGGTAGCTTGGGGTGCGGCCTGCAAGGTGAGGCGGTTCTGTTCCACCCCACCCCCAGCTCTGGCCATCCAAAAGCAACTGGCAGCTACATGCTGCCAGTCCTCCTCCTCTTCTCTCCTCACTGACAGCCCCCAGAGCTGGGCCATGGGGCAGGGCTGGGGAGAGGGGTGGTTCAGCAGCCTCCTCAGAAGCTGCTGGAAATCCCCCACCTGTTGGCCAGGGCTGATGCAGGCAGGCTCCAGCTCCACCCCAGCCTAACAGGCAAACATCTGTTGGGGGGGGGTGCAGCGCTTTAACCCATGGCACTTTATGCAAAATGTAAAGAGCGGGTCCCTGAATGTCTGTAGGCATCCTAAGTAATTCTGACTATTGTTGTGGGTTGCATGTTTCTCCCCTGTTATTTGTGACCCACCCAAGTAAATATACACCTAACTGCTTGCCAACTATTCTATGCAGCACTGTCATGAAGATATCTTTTGAGAATACTTGTTTCATTAGTTTTTTAAATTACTTTTTTCAGAAGAGATGAAAAACCCTAGCAGAAATATCCCATTGACTGTAATGACAGCGCTTCCTGCAGTAACTGCCTTTTACTTACTGGTAAACATCTCATACCTGACCGTTCTCACACCAAAGGAAATTGTCTCCTCAGGTAGGACTATTGGTTTATTTGGATGATGCTTTAAAAGGAGTAGTAATCATTACCATCTTTGGCCCCTCTCAAGTGGTCACTTGGGTCCATGAGAGACCGGTGCCTCCTGAGTCTGGGGGGCACCAGTGGGGCATGACCAGGGGGGTCCCCCAGTGGCCAGCTGGCAACCGGGGGGGGATGGTCCCAGCACTTCTGCATATGACATGCCGCTAGCAGAGCCAAAGTTGGGGGGTGCAGTACCAGCCAGAGTGCTTGCTGTCAGGGGGGGACACCAGCACTCCTGGGGGGGCAGGGGAAGCACATGCCCCACCCTCCAATGTCTCCCTATGTGTCACCTATGCTTGGGTATAGCCAGAGGCATAACTGGCCAGTACTGCACTCTGGGCAGCAGTTGCAGGAAAGGTGCAGCGTGGGACAGAACAGAGCTAGAGGGGCCCTCACCCTTCTAACTCCCCTTGATTTATTTCAGTGACTCCCTTTAGGCAGCACCTGAGGCTCATGCCCTCCTTGCCTACCCATTGTAATGCTACTGTCATTCAGCTGAATTCAGGGTTCAGCAATGCACTTTGAAGCTTAAGATCTAGGTTTTGTTTTAAATTGTGGCAGAGACTTCTACATGACTTTGAGGAAATCCCTTACAGCTTATCTACGCATAGATTTTCCCAGGTTTAAATTAGCTCAGTTAACTGGTGCAGGTTTTCTGTATGGGCACTTTTATATAGGTTATACGCAACTTATATCAGTTTGGCACTTTTACTGTACTGACACAAGCCAACCTCAAAATAGGCCAGATACAAAAGGGTAGGCATGTCCACATGCAAAGTTCCAGTAGTTTAACTAAATCAGTATATAGCACCCTCTGCCCATTCCCACCTTTACTTAAACTGAGACAGCTTTGCCTATGGACCAGGTTTTTCTCTGTGCTTGATCCAGTTGTGATATTAGGACTGCATACACAAGATAGGGATGGAATCAAGGAATTGGAAAGTCTATGATAAATTTGCTAATATTTTGAAAGGGCTCAAATACCAAAATAATGACTGCCCTGGAAAAGCTTGAAGGAAATTAAAAAAAATGCTTGAGGGAAATTTAAAAAATGCAACCGATGCTCAAGTTTCTTCTGAAAAGTAGACAAAGTCCCAGGAGTTGAGAGACTCCCACCACTGCACTTGATTCAAGACTCACCCAAGAGGAGCTGTTTCCATCCTGTGATTAAAGCCTGCTTCCTTAATGAGGCATGAGTGACAGCTGGCATGCTTCATTTGAAGAAAGAAGTTATATTTCCTCAGCTTCAAATGAAGCTCAGAAAGCTTGCAGGGTCAATCAACAGCCTTCTACTCAACATGTTCTCAGGCAATCTAGTGATTAAGACACAAAACAACTGCAAGTGGATTCTAAACTGAGAGAATTCAAATTTACATACTGGGCACCTCCAGAGATACAGGTTGAGGTGATTCTAGAAGTCAAGGAAACTGTGCCCATGTATACTTGATAAGGATATACGTCCAGGATTGCAGTCTGTCTTTCCAATTTGGCTGGGCAGCACTGTTAATGTAACTTAATGACTGTTTTCTGTTCTCACCAGCTACCCTCACATCATTGCAGTATCTGTGTGCCTTTTGTTGTTTGACTGTTGGCTCAGTAAACTATGACCTTTGCACTAGCATACGCTATAACAATGACAGATTTGCAAGAGACGTGAGGGTTAGGGACAGACATTACACATAAACCAGTTTAAGTGAT